CTTTTTCATTTATTTTATTAATTTTAATATTTATATTTTATTCCTGCAGCTTGAGCCTGACGAGCGATAGCAAGGTGTGGATCGGTGCCTGGTGGATTGGCTTTGTGTTTGCGGCCGTGGTCTGTGTGCTCATCGCCATTCCGATCTTTGGCTACCCGAAGTCTCTGCCTGGCGCGGAGAAGCTGCAGCTGGCCAAGGTCTCGGAGGCGCACACAAAGAAAACGGCCCAGGCCAAGGCGGCTGGGGCGGAGGTGGGGCAAGTGACGGGGAGGGCGGAGACAGAGCCGCGTCGACGCCTTGGCGAGCTGCCACACGCAGTGCTGACGCTGTTCAGGAATCCCACGTTCTTCTTCCTCAACCTGGCGGGCGCCACGGAGGGTCTGGTCATAGCGGGCTTTGCCGCGTTTCTGCCCAAGCAAATCGAGAATCAATTTGGTATTTCGCCCGTGATCTCGGCCCTGGTGATGGGGCTCATCACGGTGCCCGCTGGCGGGGGCGGCACCTTTCTGGGCGGCTACCTGGTGAAGAAGCTGAACCTGGCCTGTGGCGGCATCATCAAGATGTGCCTGCTGGCCACGCTGGTGGCCACCGTCTTCACCAGCTGCTTCCTGGTCTCCTGCCCCAATGCGGCATATGCGGGCGTCACCTCGGCCTACGACGACCAGCAGATGGGGCTGCCCCTGACCCTGGAGGCCAGTTGCAATGCCAACTGCGGCTGCAGTCGCAGCAATTATGACCCCATCTGTGGGTCCAATGGCGTCATGTACTACAGTCCCTGCTTCGCGGGCTGCGGCCAGGAGGAGCAGCAGGAGACCTTGAAGAGCTACAGCAACTGCACCTGCATCGACCACAGTGGCGAGGCGACCAATGTCATGTGCGAGTCCAGCTGCAAGAGTTTGCCCTACTTTGTGGGGCTCTGCTTTGTGCTGATGTTCTTCACCTTCCTGGCCACGATGCCGGCACTCTCCGCCACGCTGAGGTGGGTTGATTGGATGATTGACCAGTTGGAAATATATGTATATTTCATATATTCATTTCTATTTCTCTCACAGATGCGTGCAGGATGAGCAGCGTTCGTTCGCCTTGGGTCTGCAGTGGATCAAGGTGCGTTTGATGGGCACCATTCCGGCTCCGCTAATCTTTGGCGCACTCATTGACGAGTCCTGCGTGCTCTGGCACGAGTCCTGCGATGCTCAAGCAGGTGGCGCTTGTCTGGTCTACGATAATTTCTACATAAGTCGGTTAGTAGAGTTATTATATAGATACCTATAGATTGTATAGAATATCATTTTTTCATCTGCTTCTCTTCCAGTTACATGTGGCTCCTCGCTTTGGTGGGCAAACTCTGCTCCGTTTTGTTCTTTTTGGGCGCCTGGTGGTTCTACAAGCCGCCCAGCGAACCTTCAAATGCCAAAAAAGAAAACCAATCAGAAATTTAATCTTAAGAAAACAGTTAATCGATAGTAAACTAAGTAACGCACTGCCATTTTCCAGCTTCACTTTTTAATAATCCATCGCAAATCAGAAAAAATGCAAATTTAATATCCGCACAGCTCTAAAAAACGTACTGGTCTCATTAACATTTGTAAGCACTATTAATGTCTATTCTAATCAACTGCAAGAAATAAGTACTTCATAAGTAAATCATGTATTTTAATATTAAAAATGTATTATATAAGATTTTTCATAATATTCAAATTCAAACTCTTTAACATTTTCCGCCCAACTGAACATTAACAGTAGTTGGTCAGCTGTGGAAGCATTTCTGCGCCACATTAAGTTGGCTGCACATGGTTAACAGCTCTGTTAAAAGCCTGCCATCTGGTCGTGTTTGGAATGGCACATCGTCTGGCAGCACTGGTCGCATTGTTATTTAATTTGTTGTTGGATTTCAGACGGTACGGTTGTGCTTCGCGCTGTTTTTACTGTTCATAAATATGCCAACTTGACGCGTTCACTGTGTTTTTTAAACAACAAAAACAACACGCTCAACATTAAATATATACACAAGAGTGGCAGCTATAAAGGTGCTTAGACATTTTATAATTTATAAAATTAAATAATAATCAAAGAAATTGGATTGATTTTGCGTGTGCGTATCGAGTGTGTAGTTAAATGTGCATTTGCAAAAAAAAAAAAAAAAAAAAAAAAAACAAACAAATCATGTGCAATTAAAAGGTCAATCACCCAACAACAGCAACAAAAAACAACTATTAATTACAATAAAAAGCCATTGTAACAGTTATAATTAATAAGTTGTTTTGAGCAGCGAGCAAAAGCAAAGAAATTGGTAAACTGCACGAATAACGGAATCCAATTTAGTTCAAAAATCACTAAGCAGACGCACACGCACACACATACACATACAATGATGCAACTGCAAGCCAAACAAAGTATTTACATATGGGCGAGTGTGAAACCATTGAGAAGGCAACCATAAAAGAGAGGTGCAAAATAATAACAAATGCAATGAGTGCAAGTGTTTTGCATAATGCACAATAAATGCAGCAAAATCAGCTGAAAATCCAACAGAAACACAAATATGAATATTGAATATGAAATTATATATCAATGCCAGGTGATTTTGTACTTTTAATCCACTTACCACTACAAGCTTGCAATTTGTGAATGTGTGAGTGCCACTACATCAACACAAACGCACTCCTATACATATATATAAACACTTAGAGACATGTCTCGTCTTTTCTTTCTCTTCTTGGCTTCTTCTTGTCTGTCCCGAAGCCCAGTTGCTGCCCAGTCATATGTTGTCCCCCGCACACCTACTCGCCCCCCTGCACAGCTTCGAGTTTTATTCCAAGACTTGTTTTGCCTGTACGTATGTAGGTTTGTGTGTTTGTGTGTGCAAGCGCAAATGCGTATATATATCTATATGTGTGTGTATGTATGCTTGCAGGCGCACTTGTTACAGATTCGATTCGAGTTTTCTCGCAGCTCTCCCACAACGCAAAGGTTTTCTTTGTTGTCGCTGGCGTTTGCCTGGTCATATATATATAT